GGGGGGGGCTCTGGATTTTAAGTGGGACACTTTCCCAATCCTCCTGCCCCGGCCAGAAAGCAACGAGGTGACATGCTGCCCTCCCTGCCTGCAGCCAAGCTTGGGGCTGCCCCCGTTTGCAGGCTCTGATGCCAGCTGCCCCACGGGCCACTGCAGTCCCCCTCCTCGACTGCTGGTGTCCCGGCTCCTCTCATCCTCTGCAAACCACCATGGCACCCAGAAAAACAAATCACATTACCTGGAGTAGCCAAATCTTAGTGTCTCTTTAGGAACACGGATTATCTGACCCTGGGGAAATCCTAGAGGGAACCACAGGCTTCCAAGATCCCCATAATTTCCTCTCTCTTCAAAGTTAAAAATAATGGTGAGTCACCGTAGGAAAAAAAAAAAATAATAATAATAAAAAATAATAATAATAAAAACAGGAGAAGGGGACAATAAGAGGGGTTAGATTCCCAGATGGTGGAAGTCAGGTCTTGTAATGGTTGGGACTGGAGAGAGAGAGAAAGAGAGACAGAGAGACAGAGAGACCAGGTCTTCTGGGGAGCTGTTGCGGATCTGCACTTCAGGGCAGAGGAGCATCTGGCTGATGCCTTCGGTAGGACGGCGAGAAGCTGCTAAGCTCAGCAAACCCCGGTGTCCACAGTGTCCTCGGGAGGTGTGGCATCGCCTGGAAAAAACACCCAGAAGGTAGAGAGCTGCTGAGGGTTTGAAAGAAGCATCTGCAGAGCTCCCCAGCTCCTCCAGGCAGCCCGCGGTTTGTTTGCCCGCTGCTGGTCCAACCTGCACTGCAACACGAGAGGAGGGCAGAGCGCTAGAGGGGAGGAAAAAAACAGAGCCCCATCTCCAGGAGATAAAAAAAAACCCAACAAACCCAAAAAAACCCCAAACGACAGCCCAACAACTAGAGTCTCGTCTCCAGAACAAAACAGAGCCCCATCTCCAGGAAAAAAAACAAAGCCCAGTTTTGAAAATAATCATCATACGGAGCTTCAGCAACTCCCTCTGCACCCGCTGCCCGGGGGAGCTGGTGCCAGGCAAAGGATG